TGAAACACATCAAGGTGATCCTCGCATTCATTGTCGATGAGATTGAGGAAGTCGTTTTGCATTCCACCGGCGGATCTCCAGTGTTCAGGTGAATTCAAAAACTCGTCGAAGGTTTGAACACTGTCAGGCACGGTGTCCTTGAAAGTCTGGCCACGTTCATACAAAATGACACTAACACGATCCCCAATTTCTGTTGTTGGGTCCACAGCTCCCAAAAGTTTTTTCCCCCAACCATACGCGGCTCCTTCACCCCTTCCTCTTCAAAGGCTCTGTGAACTTTTCGGTCAAAGAGAAACCAGATGACTTTCTTCCCATGATCCTCAAGCGTTTCCCAATCAATCCCATACCCCCCTGCCAACTGAAGGCACCTCTCCTTCTTAATCTTTGGAGGTCTGATGTTCACAAATAACTCGTTCGGGTTTGTCTGGGCCACACCTGGTGGGCGCGTTGCTGCAGCAGTGCCGTTCGTCGGTGCAATTGAGGGAGTGGACCTGCCCGATATCTCTCCACCTTCCGTCTTGCTCATTGAGATGGTTTTCGTGCTGAGGGTGCAGCGATTAAATCCGTTTCCGAGGAGACAGTACCAGCGGCAACATAATAAGCACCATGGTCAGGACGATGGCCCACGATGGGGTCAATCTCCAGCCGAATTGTGAGGGGAGACCGTTTTGGAGATTATCAAAATTTAGGAGATCAAAATTTCAAATTAGGAGACCGTTTTGGAGATTATCAAAATTTAGGAGACCATTTTTGGGACCAAAGTCAAAATTAGGAGGTGTGTTTGGTTGAAATAGGAGATTGAATAGGAGATCAAAACTCAAATTAGGAGGCTGTTTAGGAGATTACATGTACTACGGATTCGGATTGAACTGTCCTTTCCCTTGCTCGGAAGCTGATTTCCCACCCTGGGAAGGAGATTTCCGACCCTCTGAAGGGAATTTTCCTTGAGCTTTACTTAAGGGACAGTGCTGTCGGATTTGACTTCGACCGTTTCTTTGACAAACTTTTAAAGGATCGACTGGCGCGCCAATTAATCCTCGCGTAGAAACGTAAACAACCTATGCACGGGGAAGGAAAATCTCCTTTTGAGGGTGGGAAATCCGCTTAAGAGCATGGGAAAGGACAGTTCTTCCCGAATCCGTAGTATCAAAATTTAGGAGACTGTAATTTGAAATTAGGAGACGGTTTGGAGATTATCAAAATTTAGGAGACTGTTTCTCACATTTTACCTTTTTGCCCCATCGTCCTGGCAGTGTCTCGAGACAGCGGGTCAACAGCACCACAATGTAGCTGGCCAGGTATTATAGGTTTAGTTTTGTGTTTGCTAGTGACTTAATTAGAGAAAAAGAAAAACACAAGTCCTCTCTTCATATAAAAAGTACTAGTTTTAGGCAGACTACCTATCTGGTCCGGAGGACCTTTGTCAACGCTGGTACGAATCGAGCCCGAGGGCCCAAGCAACTGAGTCGTTTATGTGGGTGTTCGCACGACACGAGGGGAATAGCATTCAGTTTCATTGGAACAAGAGGATGTACCTCATAGAAGCACGATGGTAACTAGCTAACTAGTCTACGCTCGTCTTTCACCTCCGTCCCCAACGAGAGGGGACAGGTCCTTGTTTCTCCGCTACCACAGTGAATGCCTCCTCGTGGAGTGACCGGGGGCGCAGTGGCCTAATCCGGATTAAGACTAAAATGTGTGATCATCAGTTGCTGTTGCCGTTGGAGCTGTCGATTCGCTGGAGCAAGTTGCTTCTGGAACTCTGTTCGGGCCAGGGTGGTAGATTCAAGCCATCGCTTTGTCTTGTCGATAGTGAATGTAAGGGTGTGGGTTTTGGTGTCCGGGTGGACTCTCCAGTGGTCGACGGGGAGTAGGCCTATGGTGCCTTGGGTGTACTGTTGTCGAACCCGTTCGCGTAGAGTGTCCAGTTGGGATAGTTGGGTGGGAGTGAGGGTAGTGCCATGGACGGCTTCATTTCGGTTGGTCCAAAGGTTGAAGTGTAGGCTCCAGATCTGTTTGATGAAGGCGCTGGTCCAGGCCAGGCCATCTCCGTTCTTCTTGAGTCGTTGCAGGTGGTGTGTTTGGATGTGTTGGAAGGATTGGGAGACCCTGCCAAGTAACAAGTTCCACCAGCCAAGGTTGGTTTGGTCGGCGATGGCTTGGCGGATGGAGGTTGGCAATCTGGCGGTGTTGGGTGGAGTGGTGTCGCCTTGGTGCCACCGGTTGAGGTGGAGGAGAATCTGTGTTCGGAGTCTGGGGTGGGTGTGCCTCTTCTTCATCCACTTGTTCAGCTCCGTCATTTGTTTCTTCCATTCCGCTGTAGCAGTGGTGGAGTCACAGAGTAGCACGTGGAGGGTGTCTTCATCTTCGAGGCCGCATCGCGGACAGTTGCTGTGGTCTTGCCACTTTCTTCGAAGTTGCATCCGTCCGACCCCGCAGTGTCCTGAGGCGTGTTTGGTTACCCAACGTTGTGTGCCGAGGGGGCTGCTTCTGAATGCCCGGCCGTGGGCAGTCCAGTTGGTGCGTTGCCACTTGTCGTTCCATGCTTCGGTGGAGTAGTGCACATCGCGAACCCGTTCTTCACGTTGTTTCCAGTGGGCTTTGATGGAAGCTTCTCCCAGGAGTGTGTGAACTTCTCTCAGGTGGAATCGCGCGAGTTTCGCGCCCTTGAACTTGATTGTCATGCGTTCATGGGTGAATGGGATGTTGGGGAAAGGGGTGAACTGGTGCAGGTCCCAGTGTGCTTTTGCCCTGGTGTCCATCTCTATATTCAGAATAGCCCATCGGTCCAGACAGCCATGATGGAGGTCGTTGCCACGCAGCAGCTCCGGTCGGAGTCGCCGGGTGGGTCTCTTGTCGTCATCCTGGTGCCCTTTCACCCAACGGTACAGAACTTGCACTTTGCGCTTCCGTAGTTGCTTCAGGATTGCTCTGCCTTCCACGCGCAGGTCATAGTCCCTTTTGTTGCTGGTTGGCTCGAAGATGGATTCCAGTGCTTTCAGTGCTGCTGGGCCGTCACAGCCTATGATGATCTTTCCACTGGAGATGTCGAAGCGATGCACCAGAGTGCGGACCATCAGCATCACTGCTCTTAGCCTTATTCGCGACTCGATCCTAGATAGGGTTTGAGTTCGACTCATGACTGAGTCTCTCGTGAATAGTCATTTGAGGCAGGGTTCTCAATGACCGCGCTAGTCATACTAGGTCGATGATGAAACATCGCTCTAGATATTTAGCCAGCGTGGAGTACTTCCACGCTACTAGATCCAGGCTAGACAAACCTTCCACGCGTTCCGTTTTAGGATCGTGGAGAGACGTAGGATTACTACCGCAACCTACTCTATCACACTTTATAGTCTCCCGCGGGAAGCCAGATCTACGATCCCTTGATGATGATCTCTCTCGTTGATTAGTTTTCATAGCTTTCTAATCTCTCTCATAACTTTCATTCTCTCAAACTCAAAACACTCGAAAGATCTTTACACTAGCTTTTAGCGTAGTGCACTGTCTACACTATGGCCGGAGCTACGAGCTAGGAGTACTAAGTGGTTTGGGCTTAAGGCTATAGAGCTGTTAATGCTACTATTGCTTTGTGCCTAACCCAAGCTGTGTGAGTGGTGGCATTGGCCACACTTATACAGCTGTGAACTCTTTACAAAAACAAAAGGGCGGGATGGGTCAGGGAAAGCGAAAACATGAGCAATGCACTTGTGTAGCTCTAGTAACCATCTGCAGGTGACCATTATCATTGCTCTGGTCTGTTGGAAGAGGAATGAAGAATGAGGAGGAGCGAGAGGACTGCAGAGGTGCGAGTCTTCTCTGCGGTACATTCCTCTAGACGCACACTTGCTCCTACTTTATGCTCTTGGACTATAATGCTGGCGGCAATGCACGACAGATTATAGCCAGACTCATAAAGCTAGCTAGGCAAGCTTTGCATGCATGCAATGACATTCTGGGACACCTACAGGGCTATTGTCTACCCCTGTCTACACTATGGCCGGAGCTACGAGCTAGGAGTACTAAGTGGTTTGGGCTTAAGGCTATAGAGCTGTTAATGCTACTATTGCTTTGTGCCTAACCCAAGCTGTGTGAGTGGTGGCCAAAAGCGAAAACATGAGCAATGCACTTGTGTAGCTCTAGTAACCATCTGCAGGTGACCATTATCATTGCTCTGGTCTGTTGGAAGAGGAATGAAGAATGAGGAGGAGCGAGAGGACTGCAGAGGTGCGAGTCTTCTCTGCGGTACATTCCTCTAGACGCACACTTGCTCCTACTTTATGCTCTTGGAAACTTTTACTTTGCTGGCTCGGATCTGATCGGTCGACCATGACGAAACCACAAGAAGCAAGCGGCTTGCCGCTACATGTACCACGAAGCCGACTATTTCATTAGTAATATAGGTGCCATTGCGGAGTGTTTCGGCCATTGTCGAGGAGAGGAAAGAAAAGGGCATAGCTTCCGCATTTGACTACGAATTACGAAGTTTTGGATTGACTGACTGGAGAGGTGGATCGACACCTTGTTTCGTGTATCGGAGAGGCTCCGACTGTTTACCCTCTGTTAACCTCCCACTGGTCAACAACCATTAGACTAGCAACAAGTTCCGTTTTCCATCTTCTGGTGCAACAAATATACAGAGGATTGTCTCAGAATGTGGAAAAATGGTGTTGCAGATGTGGATACCGTACCGCCTTTGTGCATTCATTCCCACGAACCACATTGACAACACACATGGTTGGCTAAGAGAGTACGAGCAATGGCCACCGACTGATAAAGATGTTGGCCATTCCTCCTCTTCCGGTTCATTATTTCGATACCTCTACCTTTACTGTACCGATACCGGTATCAAGATGATGTCACGTCGTTTACGTTCTCTTCTTTACTTATTTACAGCGGCTACTCCACTACCATGACAGGCTCCTCTTGTTTGGTTAGCGGGCAGCGGTAGCCGTTCGACGATCGTTCGATCGTTCGATGCGTTCGATGGATCGAGTCGGTCGGTCGATGACTTCTTCCTTCTTTCGGTGGACGATTACTTCCACGGAGCGACCATGACGCCTTCACTGCAAAAAGCGGATACTGCTCTATGCAGAGTTCGATCCACCGGAGTGTCGTAGTACAACATCTCCCCATTCCATCCCGTCCAAGGTTGTGGCGGTAGAGCGTTTGTTGAGCTCGGCGCGAAGTTCTCGAGGCGATCGTTGCCAAGGTATCAATCGTGGAAAACAAGTGGGTTTCTCCGAACGTTCGGTTCACGCCCTGAGGCCATTCAAATCCAATGCAAGCCACGACGGCGCTTTGGTGGGCGATTTGTTCCGTTCAGAAAGATCCAAACTGGGACCATCGCCTCCACTCCTCTCACTTTCCTTGATTTGACGAGGTCAACAAGGGATTGCCATCGACGATTCATTCAGCATACATTCAAATAATCCGCCGTGTTGTCTTTCACCATGGCCGACCCACTAGAAGACCCACTAGATTTCCCTCTAGTCGACCCAAGCACCGTGCCATCTCTGAAAGAGGCGCACCCCATTGTGGCTAAAACCTACGAAGCCAAAATGGAAAATGGGGAACCCCCCTTTGGTACGGTGATTCCCGGCTTGCCGCAAAACACATCCAGCATCGATGCGATCATGGATTGGCTCAAGCAGCATCTCCGCCGCGGTCCCATTAGCAAGTTGGCGGACGCCAAAGAAGCGTGTGCGGAAGTTCTAGACAACATTCAAAACACCGAGGAAACAACCATTGGCAAGCTGTTGCTTGGGGTGGCGCGGCGCAATCGTGGGGGTCGAGGAAACCCTGCTTCGCTGTGTTACAAGGACAACAAAGTGGCACTGGCGAGTGCCCTTCGATACGACCATACCGAGCTGCGTCATCTCGACAACAGCATCAGAGGTTCCTTGCTTGATGGTTTGCGAATCTGGCCTGGGGCCAGCGATAGTACTTTGTATGAGGTGGAAGATGGTAACCCCGATCTAATTCTCATTGGCAGTGATCCACCACAGTTGGCAACCACCCTCAAAAAAGCTGTCTACCTCGTAGCCGCCGTCATGGACGCTCACGAAGTCGTTGACTCAATCGATAAATTCGATCCAGAGGACCCAAACAAAACAAATGTCAAAGCGGCGATCGACGACACGATTTACCACCTCCGAACACTCTACGGCTTCACATTTCAGGCTTCCTGGTTTCATCCTCTCCTCGACTTGTGGTTCCCACGTCGTCACCGCCGCCGCCGATCTCGGAGTGATTCACCCGCAGCAGTAGCAGACCCACTTCTTGAAGTCCTTGGCGCCGAACCTGGGGAGGATTTGGTCGAGGATTCATCGTCTCGTCGCCCAGCACAGGCCGACCCGGAAGTTGTGCTGGATGCAACGAAACAACTGCGTGTTGACACAGAGAACTTGCGTGCAGAAGAAACCATTGATCGGATCTTGGACGCGCTGGAAGATCGCCAAGCCCTGTGCGCCCGTATGTTGGACCAGAATGATCGCATCATGGAACAGAACGACAGAGACATGGGACAGCTTCAACTTCTCTTGGAATCGTTGACGAAGGAGGGTAAGACGGTTGATGGAGCAGCAGCAGTCGACCCTCGTGTTGCCACAGCCGAATTGCTTATTGCCGAAGCTATTCGTATCGCTTTGAGGGGCCTTGCTGTCGGCGAGCGTATGCTTGAGCATGTGGTCGGTGTCAGTGAGCGGATTATCGGTGTCGCTGAGGATAGTACGGCGGCAGCCCACCGGCTCTTGGACCATGCAGGGTGAGTCGAGTCCACTCGCCCTTTCTACTACTAGCTTTGACTTTCTCTTCCTTGCGAGTAGGTACCGGTACTGACGTTTGTTTTTCCTTGCTTGTAAGAGTTCCTGAGCGCCGGGCTCGGCCCACACACCGGTGAGTCTCCTGTGCAAGTCTTTTCGATTCGATTCGCTCGGCTGCCGAAGGCAACTCGACTTACTTTCTTGGATTCATTGATGCGAATTTTTTCAGACGCGCTGAGTCGGCGTAAGTGCTGCGGGATGGGTTCCTCGGGATGGCTGGTGCGTTTCTTCTTGCCTCTCACCACCTCGGTATCCTTCCACGCAGACGAGAACGGGCACTTGCCGTGTCGGACGATGACGATACGGATGAAGATTATGATGACGGCGAGCGGGCTCCAGCTGTTCGTCGTCGCCGTCGCCGAGCCAACGACCGCCGCTAGATGGGCGAAGACATGCGTGCCGGTCTGCAATAGAGGAAGAACAAGTGGCATTTAGCGTTTCTGCTCCGCGGACAGGTGTCATTTGTCAACTACATGCGAACAAGTATTCAAGCATCAGGATTATACAGCAGCCCATGCCGAGGTGCTAGCCAGCTGCTAGTAGAACTAACGCACAATAATACCGGTACTTGGCAGCTGACCAGCCCTGTCGTAGACGTCTAAGCGCCAGCAACCATCCTGAGGACTCCATAGTATTCACGCTTTGTCTCTTGGCCCTCCCACAGAACTCGTTTGGGACAATGGCTAGTACCACCTGGTACCATGGTACCGTAGCCTTCGGGTGTGGTAATTGAGCGGTTGGCGCTCTTTCGTGGCTTTCTACCGTACCGGTACCCTCCTACCTAGCCGAACTGTCCTCCGCATTTCTTCCAACCACTCGCCGTCTCTTGGCCTGTCACTCCATGATAATGTGAGGGTCTAGCTAGAGTAGCTACTTGAATGTACCAGCAGCGGAGATATCATTTCATTTGCAGCCTTTCTCCTACATCATGTACTAGTAGCTAGTTTACCAGTTTCAGCTGCCACCACGAGTTCTCCCAGCCTCGTCAAGACATGCCGACGGTCACTGCTTGCTACTAGCAGAGGATATCCTACCGTCTTCCAGAGTGTGTTTCTCTTGGGGAATAGATTCGATTCCTGCACGGATCAGCCAACACTGGGTTGCAAGGATCTGGCCGCATGTCTATGAACACGAGCCGAAACCTAACCGGTAGTGTGCACCTTGTGCTTTATTACAAAGGAAGACAGACGACCTATCTACCTTTAAGAAGAGAAGGTCAACCAGGAGGGAGATTAACAATGCAGTATACAGCAAAACCAAAATGACTACAGTATATTGTAATTTGCAATGTGTGTGCTGCCGCTTCATGAAGTCGCCGAACGTGGGGAGGATTTTGTCGAGGATTCACCATCTTGCCGCTCAGCACAGATCGACCCAGGTCTCGAATCACGGGTCGCGGAGTCGGAAGGTGCGTTGGATGCAATGAAACAACTGCTGTTGACGCAGAGAACTTGCGTATCGGAATGTTGCACACGGCGACGGAAGGCACGAAAAGAAACCATTGACCGAAGTTTGATTCAATCAAGGCATGAAGAGTGCGCCCGTACCCTGAACCAGCAGTCTGTTCCGCCTTCTCCGGCCTGCAACGAAGTCAAGCAAAAGGATCGGACGTTGACAGCATTCGAAGATCACAAGGTTGCTTCCGGCGCCAACATATACAAATGCTGTACCCAAGTCGACAACCTCTCTCCCCGTGTTGACAACCATGATAAGCGAGGGTTTGACGCACTTGAATGAGTCGAGTCACTCCATGGCCAAAAGTGATGACAAGATTGCCGATGCCCGTCACACAGTTGGTTCAAATTTTTGGTCGATGATTCATCGGTGTCCCCACATAAGCGCCTCGCTGATCTACTGGGTTTCGTTGCACACGTGGAAGCCGTAGCTAGACGTGATCAATTGTTGAACCATCAAAACCTTTGTCAACATCTTTTTAGTGGTCACAATTCTAACATGTCTACGGTGTGGATCCTGACCGCCCGCCTGATGGCTGTATCAAAAAATGATGTGGGCTTTCACTTTGTCTGTTGTCGTTTCCTTAGGCTCTGGATGGATCACTTTTGCATTGTGGATTGGTACATTTGATTCTGTGACAGTATGCATAGATTGGAATTGAAGCCAATTCATCTGTGTTTTTCAGTTTGGAGTCGAGACTTCTTTGGGACACCAGGGAAAAGTTGTCTAGCACCAACAATTGGCTTTCATTTTCCCTTTTCGTCCAACTATCGTTTGTTGAACACCTTACACCCATTCTTCTTTACGCTTCACAGCTCACAGCTTTAGTCACATATTGGTGCTCTTTTACACACAGATCCAACACATTTGAGATACTAGAGTAAACTTCTCCATTGCGCTGTCAACTGTTGACCAGAGGAAACTCCACAAATGCAGAGGAATTGCCCTCTCTACTAGTACTTGCGAAGTTTGTGTGTAAATGGGCCACACTGTACGGCATGCTAACCACTCACCCAAGGACCCAGGAAAAGGTAGACTGCCTCCCCATGAACCAGTAGGCTTTTAAGCTGGGCTGTAGGGGGGGAACAAGAGACGTGGGTCTTGTCGGTCCTTAGAGCGGGGCATGAGTCGCAGACAGGCGGCTCCCAGAAGCACTGCAGCAGGCGTCTGCGACTCGAAGTCACAAAGTACCACAATTTGGGCTCATAACCTGCGAACTGAGGTCGATGTGAAGGATGACATGGTGGGGAGTTCGACGTAAAAGTGTGAACTAAAATAGAGGGGAATTACGCTACGAGGTAGATCTTCATTAGGGTTGAGGTTGATCGCGATGTGAAAACGCGATCACATCCCACACTACTGCAGCGATCTCCATCCACGCTCCTTCTCTTTGAGCACTTGGCCCCGCGAGACTACTGAGTAGTACTAGCTGGTACCGGTAGTAACTTGTAGCCAGTTCCCGGTCCCCCATATCGGTAGGTCCATTGTGTCGGTGGTCATTGTCAGGAGTCGAGAGTCAGGAGAGCGAAAGTATAAGTTCACCAGTCGGCCGAGAGGAGTGCTGCGCTAGCTAGCTAGCTGGAGCGGTGAGAGTGATAGTCGAGTGACTCAACTCGACTCGACTCGACACGACTCGACTCGACTCGACTCGGACTGAGACTCAGTCAGTCAAAGTGACCAATCAAGAGTCAAGTCGAGTCACTCGACACTCAGACTGGGGTATGTGGGTATTTGTTGCCCCATACCCCTGTCATCGATCGAGTGACGAGTCGAGTCGAGTCGAGTGAGTGTCGAGTGACCATAACGAACCATAACAGTCGGGACTGGACTGACTCGTGACTCGACTCTGACTCCTCTCGAATTTTGTAAAATCATTTTCCCAACGGTAAAATCATTTTCCCAACGGTAAAATCATTTTCCCAAAAATGACCCACGCAGTCAACACGCGTCAACACGTCAACACCATCGCCACCCAACGGTACCGGTACCGGTACCGTATACCTTTAGAATACAACCGTAGTCACATGATAGAGGGTATCCACTTTGGGGGAGTTGTTCGCATTGGTGTAGGTATTCTTGACCAGGGAAACTTGACCAGAACCACTGCACAGAGTCTCTGCGTATGCATAGAGTCTCTACTACTAGTACTAGCTAGAGGAAGAATTGTCCATGCACATGTAACGACCGGCACTACATGTACATGTAGCTTGTAGTAGAACTAACACTGCATTTACTGGTAGCAATGCCCAATTGGCAGCCGACCAATCCTGTTCCGTCATAGTTCCAGCAAGCAGCGGCCATTCTGACGCGAATAGTCCTCCGAGTGTCACAAGAAGCAGTTGACACTCCTTGGTGGCCTGTTGCTACAACCCTCCAACCATGTCCTCTGATCTCGAAAGCATCATTTCTTCCACTCACTCGTCGGTGCTTGGCCTGTGACTCCATGAGGTGCCCGAGTGACGACCAGTCGAGTCTAGTACCCTCCAGAACAGAGTGCGAAAAGGCTGCTGGCTACCGCTAGCTGCGTGTTCTGCTTCACGTATGCCATGACCTCTGCTTCATAATTCAAAAGTACGACGATGTGGTAGATCCCACTGAGTTGTGCTGAAGGCCTTACTAGTAGTTCCAAAAGCAGAAAACTAGCTAGCTAGCAAAGACGATCGGGTTACCGCAGGGGAAGATCGTCCCCTCCGACTGTGAGCCCCTGAAAGCTCGCTCAATGAATACCATGCCGGTACAGCTCAATCATCGTGATTATACAGCTCAGCACAGTAGTGATGATTGGTAAGTAAGGTTGTGACAATAATCAACAAGAAATTATGGGCATCAATCAAATGTAGTGATGGATGTGCGCACTGTAGTGTACGAGACAATTGGCTGACATAGTATTCCCCTGTTAAACCCAGTCCGTTTCTGTTCCATTTCCGCCAAACAACCACATCTCACAACAGTACAGTACTGCACGCAACTCTTAATCAAATCAATGCTTGGCCTTGGCGCCACGCTTCTTGGCCACCTTGGGTTTCTTTGGCTTTTTGGGAGGTAGCACCTTGAGCTGGCCTCGTAAGCAGCGATCCGCCCCTTTAATGTCCGGCCTCACCAGAAAACAATCATCACATAGACTCTTGCGCTCTGTCGACCCCTCTGTTTCGGCAGGTAAGAACCACCCCGTTTGCCAGCATTCTTCGCCACACACGGAGCACGGCAATTTGGTTGCCTCTTCTTCGCCTTCTGCACCGGCCTCCTTGGGAGCCCCTTCTTTGGGTTTCTCCTCCTCGGCCGTCGGCTCTTCTGCGGGAACAGTAGCTGGCGTCTCGTCGTCTGATGATCCCATTTCTAAATTGATTACGGGTGGGGGTAGCGGTGCAAGTACGATGTCTTCTGATGTTACTTGTTGAACAGTATGGACCATGGTGGTTGCTGCCAAGCTGCCAACAGGAAGACAGTCTTGCAGTTGATGTAGATGCGGTAAACTCAGATTTGTTCGTACCATATGTTGAGCAGTATAGAATAAATATTTACCTAAACTACCTTACAATTCTGTCTTTCAGTTCCCGCGGTTGAGTTTGAGCGAACCGTCGTGGTGCGCGCAGATCGCGCAGAGTACACCTCCAAAACAAAACAGCGCAACTGGCTTATTGTTTTTGGTTTCAACAACGGCTATATCAACCGTGCTTTGATTGCAGGGTGACCGTTTGCGGAACACCTACAAAGCCAGCAGCGTCCTGATTTAAGCTCTGATTTTTTGGTCCTTCTGACCAACCCATCCCCTCCTCCTTCTCTTTCGCTAACCATGGTATCCAAACCAAGACCAGTTGACCGAAGCACGGTGCCGTCACCTAAGGAGACGAACGGTGCACTCTACGAGCGCTTTGTTGCAATGATGAACAACCGAGAACCACCGTTCTTTCTGCCGGACAAAGAGATGTACATGTACATCGGGCAGCCAATTTCATTTCGAGCCTGCACTTCAATTCTGACAAAGGCTCGACCTAAATCCATTACCATAATCCCACCTCAAAAGGCCGGTCGAAGGCTCGAACGCATTGTCTCAAACATCAACGATCCATCCAAACCAACAAGAGGCGATCCTGGCATCAAGCTCTTTGATATGTCCCCAAAATTCCTCACAATCCAGTGTGGCTACAAGCCGGACCACGAGGGGATCGCAGAATGTCGAAAAGACTTACTGAGCTTGATCAATCGGACAACGCAAGGTCTGGTACTGTGGGAGAATGCCGAGGGTTGGGATATCCTCAAGTTTGGATCGAAGATGAACCAAATTCTTGTTGGAAAGAGTGACAGTCGCCTCTCTTTGGTTTGCATGGAGAATGGATTATACTGGATGTCCTACCTTTTAGCCACAGAGGCCGAAACTTTGCGTCTCATTAGAAATTTGCAGGAGCCAACACCGACCAACCTCAAGATGGCCTTCGACAAAGCTGCACTAATTGGACGAACGAAGTATGGTACCGATGTTCAAGGAGAGTGTTTTTACCCTTTGGCCGATGCGATTGGTCGAGCTACGCTTCCAATAGCCATTCGCGTCCAACGGAGCTACCTCGTCTCGACCGCTCCTCGCATCAAGAAATGTCCAATTGCTCCCGCGTTCGCAACGTCCCGAGTGTCCCTCCCTCCACCCGCCGTACACGCCGCTCCTTCCATCTCAACGTACCTGGCCCGACTAAAAGTTATCTTGGCTCAAAGACACAAGGACTTAGACGCGCTCAAAAGCTTGTCGGAAGCAGTTGGATTAAAGATCAAGAAGTCTTGCGATTTGTCTGGTGGGAATGTGAAGCTGATTGAGGAGCATTTGAAGCTGGGATTGTTCCAAGTCGAGCTAGGGTTGGCGCAAGTGAACGTCTTGATGCAGGACTCCCTTGAGTGGGCTCAAGCTGTTCCTCCGACATCTTCTGCATCGTTGGCCCTCCCCAAATGTTCAACAATTCCGGCGGCGTCTATGTCTGCCAGTTCTCGTGCTTCTGCCAAGATACATGAAGCTCTTTCTCGTTCATTTGAAGTTGGCTTGATTGAGCAAAACGCAACTGTACGAATGTTCAACGACTTTTTGACGGAAGGTCAGATATTGGTTGAAGAGTTCGTCGAGAAAGGGCACAACACACTGTTAGCCATGACCAAAAACTCTGGCAAGCTGGCAGATCTATTTGGTCGAATGGTTGACGAGGCTCGGTAAGTCCACTTGGGGAGGGGTTGTGTGATTCAATAGTTTCCGTATCTCATCAAAGTGTCTGCC